AACTGCGTCTCCTGATAAGCTGCTGATTTGTACAAGAGATAGCAGTATCTAGTAGAAGACTGTGGTATTGCCTGCTGCAGAAACCATTTCAAGCCTCACCACCTTCCTCTCTAGTTGCAGTGTGTGACCATGTAGCAAATTCTAACAGCAAATCATACTCAAGCTTGTAGAACAGATTAGCTACCAGATTCCTCTTTGTTTTGAGAATGTGGCAAAACAACTAAGTGCCTGCCACAGATCATGTCGGCAGAGCATCACTGGCAGGCCCTCAGATGGGAACAGAATGAGAGACAGAAGACAAAATCCCCGGTTTCAGAACTTCACTCCGATTTAGCAGAGTGCAGCAAGTCAGTAAGAGTGAACTAAAATTTCAAGACTCCTGGGTGTTTTTTGCTTCTGACTGAAACTGGCCTTATGTTCTGGGAGGCAATGTGGGCAATGGTGAAAATGAAGAAATTAGCAGAAAGCACTATGACATCTATTCCCACTTATTCCTCCCTAACAGCATTTTTTTCACCACCCTCCTTAGCCAGCCAGCCATCTGTAATATCAAAGAGAACACCTTAGGTTATTCCACTTCTGACATGGCAGTATTCAGACAGCATGTATTTTAACAGGATTCAAAGCCTCTGGGTTCTGCAGCCATGTGGGATTTGGAGCTTCCTGTCAGCAGAAATAGATCTCTTAGCACTCAGAGTGCAAAAAGTGATCACTTGAGCTAAGGCAGCACTAGCTCTCCAGGGCATACAGCATGCAGCGGGACAGCTCTGCTCCCACACAAGAGTAGCTGGTGGTACAGATACGTGTGAACTGAACGATTCAATGCAATATCACATTTCTGGCTGAGATTTTGTTTTTCATATTTGGGTTTCCCACAGTGGATTATTTTGAATCCAACTTCACTGCCTGTGTTTACTGGTTAGGATGTTTATTTTTCCTGAAGAAAAGAAAAACAATAAATGTTTTATGAAAAAAGCGTAAGAACAAAGTATGGAAAATCAAAGGAAAATCCCAAAATGAACTCCTCTTGCTCTCAAGCAGAGGATATGACTGCTGTATCCTAGTGTTCCACTCATGGGGGGAAATTTTGCTTTTGTGAAATGTTATACACGTGCCAAGTTGCTGCAGATTATCTGCATAACTCTTTCCTCGTCTTGCTGTAGCAATTAGTTATCAGTGTGGTCAACGCAGTGCACAGCATGGTCCGAAGCCTGCAGGCGCATAGGTTGGGAGTCAGTTGCCTAATCACAGCCACCTATGTTGCGATGCCCTCAGGTTTTGGCCCTGGTCCGCTGCTGCCTTTCCAAAAAAAAGGCACAGGTCTCATACAGAGCCTGTGTTATACGCCAGCTTTGTGCAGATCTCTTGGATACATAAGACATTACATTAGCGGTAGACACCTATGTTTAGACAACTGACTACTCACTTGTACCGTATCCATTCAACCCACAGGACTGTTTAGGCAACTGCAAGACAAAGCCTTTAGATTTCAGGGAGGAAGACTTCTCACCTTCTTAGCTATCTCTATTCTGCTGGCCTTCTGTGGAAGAATACTCTCAAACAGAAATAGTAGTATGTAATAAACTCACAGGGAAGAGTTCCCTAATGCATTCACTTGTATGGGCAGAAAGTTCTTAGCAACAAAGCCTGAAAGTCATTTGGCCATCACCACTGAGCACTGACAGACCTCAGAATTCTAGCTTCTTGGTCACAGAGACTTGAAAAGACAGCAAATGTGCAGTGGGTGGTTATGCATACAGTGGTCAATCAGCTGCCATCCAGAGAGAGGTGAGCTATGTTTGGCACCATTCTATGCTGGTAACCACTGCGTGCTTCCAGGTCAAGTGACAAAGTGTTAATTAGAACACAGCAGCATGAAGGGAAGGAAGTTTCTGCTTGCTTGCTGATACACGTAACTGAGAGCCAGGCTCTGTCCCTGGCTCCACTGTTTGTTCCATCACAGGCCTGATTAAAAGACCTAGTGATGCAGAGAGCGCCTCTGATTTGAATCTGGAAGGCAGTATCCATAAAATCCCTGGGGCCCTTTTCAGATATCCACATGCTATCAAGTAATCAACAAACTATTTATGCAACCCTTAGGTGCTCTATTGTCCTGGTACCTTTGCCTATAAAAGTCCCTCCCTCCTATGTGCAGAGTGGCTGCCTGAAGCTTTCAGGATCCTATTCTGCTAAGCAACCCTTTAACACTCAGACATTATGAGACTGAGTTTTTCTCGATGCCAGCTACAGCAACTCTCTCTGCTTCCCTCACCTCATCTGGGGAGGGGTTAATTCATGATTTGTTACACAAAAAGTGGATAAAACTGTCTCTGTTGGCCACCCTGGCATTGTTCAACTTCCATGTTCCCAAAGGAGCTTAATCTCAGCAATGAAAAGAAAGACAGGAGACAACTATATGGCTTTTGGCCAGTAAAATCATTCCAAATCCTTGTGTGCCTAGATTTGAAGAGCTTTTAAATCCAGGAGGACTCACAAAATGCAGTTTGGCCTTTGCACTGTTTCAACAATGAGCCATAAAACTAACACCCTGGACCAATTCTAATCTCTGTGCATATAAATTTACCCAGGCACCAGAAACTCTAATGTAACTTCATGAAAGTGAATCAAGTGGCAAAGCTTCCACACTGAAATTACCCAAGAAAGGAACTTCTGTCGTGCCAGACTGCAAATGAAGCTTAGGGGAACAGTTTCAATCCTGGAAGAAGAAAGTTCCCAGTTATGCAGGGTAGCTCATATCTCAAGAGCCTGTTTTTAATCATAATCTCTACAACCCAGTTACACAGCTCATGCTTTACTACTTGCATAGTAGTTGCCAGCTGTATGGAAACCTGACTTAGTATTTTCAGGTTGATGGGAAAGCTTTCTGAAAGAGATTTGCTGGAGCAGCACAACAGCTTAGCATGAGCCTTCCTAGAAATGAAACGTAGAAATCACTGCTTCCATTAAATGCACTTACTTGCTCTAGACAATATGAGGTTCATACCAACACCTTGCTGAACTCTCACAAACTGTGCATCAGGGCTGCTTTAGACACAGGCAGAAGAGGTAATTGCTAGGAGTAGCATTTTTCTGGAATGGTAAAACAGCCCTGCTGCCTACTGGCTTTGGCTCTACTACTTGCCTCCTTCAGCTTGTACCAGCCACCACATCCACCACCCACCTTCTGGGAGGTGGAGGCAAAGCACTCTACAGTGTTGGTGGGCTCCTCTTGCTGTAGGATATGGCATGTGCCAGCATGTCCTGCAACACAGTGCTATTTACTTCTCAGCCTTGATGTGGCAAGACACAGTTTTGTCTGCATCACTGAGAAGCTTTGAGCTAGCTCAGCCTGGTACTTTTTATGGAGTCCCTTTGATACAGCTGACTGCAAAAGCAGATCCAGATACTCCTGAAATGGAATTTGTTTGGGAAAAAACCACCCAACTATTTTAATTTGAGTTCTTAAAAGAAGATAGAAAATAAAGACAGATCACTGTCGTTCCCCCTCATGGCTTCAGTCTTACCAGGGGGTAGCTTCAGCTGCATCCAAACCACAATGAACTAATTTCAGGACATGCTTCAATGTGAGCTAATGTGCAGTGTATTTAATTGGTATCAACTGAACCCATGTCTTGGAAACAGGGTTTGGCTTAAGGTTAGAGCGTGGAAGGAAAAGATCCCCTTTTCAACTGCAATGTTGTATCTTGAGTGCTGATGGCAGAGTAAGAAAGTGTGACCTGTCAGAGGAGAGGGGACAGAAAACATCATCATTTTCTCCCGTTGTGCTGCTGTAACTCACGCTGCAATATATAGAACAGGTGGCTGATTTCTCCATAGCGGTTTGACAATCCTATCAAAGGGAATTCCTCTGCATAGCTCTGCAAGTGACAAAGAGACAAAGTAATTTGTTTCCCATGGATATCCGAAGACGATCAAGCTTTGGACCCATTTTCCCATTCTGAACATTGAGCACAGTCCAGTAAACAGGCCATATACTCTGCTAACACTGAACCTCTTAAAAATTTTCTATGATTGAGTGACATGAAGCAGATAAATTATTTGTGCAAAGCTGAAAGTTGGTCAGATAAGCTTGGATATTGCACTGAAATAAGTAGCGCTCCTAGTCCTAGTCTCCTGGTATTTCCAAGGCTGAAGAACAGAAGAGTTTCTGGTGCATTAGAGGAAGGTCTGTCCAGCTTGAATCTAATACTTGATAGTACTGTGACCAGAATTCTGAACCAGAATAAATAAATTAAATTTGGTGTTTCTTTCCTCCTTTAACTATGGCCCTGGTTTGTGAAATACTTAGTTGTTCAAAGAATGAAAGATGATAATGAAGAGTTACAGCTCTCACCAAAAGTCAGAGCTGTAACATTGAGGGGGAGGAAAGCCATTGGAAGTTCTCTCTGTCACAGGCGAGAAGGTAGAAAGGAAGCAGCTTTGCTAAGCTTTATCATTTTATGACCCAAACAAGTAAAGTCTGTCAGATTCTGCTGGCTCTCTGATCAGGCCCAAGGTGCTTGGGTGTGATGACAATAAGTATTAGTCATGATCACAATGTTATTTGTCCTGTAGATACAGCTGGGTTTTGTACTTGGATAACGAGTGTCTCACCAGGGAAAGTCTGGGCATTCTTCAGAGACGCAGCAGGGAAGAGGGTAAAGATCTCTCCTTGTCTTGTCTGGTCTGGTTCTGCTGAATCACAGTCCCAGCAATCCGAGGATACAGGAATTGTTCTGCAACAACTCTCCCAAGGAGACAGGACAGAAAGAAGGAAAGAAGCAGAGCTCTGGGTTTGAGAGAGCAGCCTGCAGCTCTGTGAAAGGCCTTGCAATTCTCTTGCTCTCCTACACTCTGCGTTGCCCTGGGAAGTGTTCCCTGGCAGCATAGTGCTAGCCAACAGCAGTGAAACTCCACACTGACTTCAACAGCGGGTAAAAAGTGTTTCAGTCCTAACCAAAGCACTGCTGGGTTTTCTATTAAAAACACCCCAAAACGGCTGTGAGTTATGCCCAATAAGTTTAATAATTGATGAAACCATAGCAAGTGACAACTACAAAATACAAAGCAGACACGAAAAATGATGGCATAAAGTTGGAAGGAATAGTGTCTGCGATGAAAAATGAAAGCAAAATACACTTAACAGAGGATATGGATTCAGATATAACACACACGGTCACATACAACACCGCATTAGTAACAGCAGACACAGATACTCATTATACTGGGGATTTTCACAGTTCTCCACTTCATCCCAGATGACAAGTAAAGTGATGTTTTTACTCTCTTACATAAATTCTTGTGCACACAACATCATCAGCACCAAAGGTCTGGAAAAGAAATAGAAATCAATCAGAAGAGATGGAACCAGCAAACATCTAGCACCATTTTTTAATGTTATTTTTACTATAGTAGCTAGTTCTACAGAAAAAATACATTTTCCTATGTCTTTTGACAGATGAGAGTAAAGAAAGGAGTCATTTTGGAAGAGGAATGCAATGTAAATGACCTTTTTTCCAAGGCACGATGAATTTTGTCAGAATGATAAATGACACAGAAATTCCCTTTTCCTATAGTTTCTTGGCATGCATTTATAAATAAACATGAGAAAAGAAAGAGAATTTGGAATGTACTGTTGTTATATTTAGAAACAGTTGCAGCACTTTGAACTGGAAATGCTGAGGGTGGAATTCAGATGCCATGTTCAAAGGGTATTCTTTGATATTTGCAGGTATAAATCAGAGTAGTTCAAATGAAGTCAGCAGAGCAATGCTGAAGACCAGGAGAATGTATACCTATAACCTGTAAACATAATGCTGCTGTAAGATGTTGACACACCATGCCAGGATACCAAAACCCTCTCTCCCAAGCTGTAACATGGGCAGTGTCGGTCACAACCTTCTTTCAGGATACTGTGACCTTAACCAGTGAATTTATTAACTATGATAAGGGTCTGAAACGAGGGCACATAATGGAGAAAAATGTTGTGGATATCAAACTCATTTCACATGACTAAACACCTATGAGATCTCACAAGCCTTTGATCACTACACATCTGAAAGTCACTGACTTACTACAGACTATGTCCCATTACTGTCCCATTTCTTACACCAGAGTTAGTACCTCAGAGTACCTTGATTTCCCAGGTACTTAGAGCTGGTGTTATGTTATAGCATTGACCGAAACAGAGTTTCAGATATGCATCTGAAAGCCTGCAGTTTTTTAATTGCTCTATCGTTCTGCACTTAAACGGCAATTCTGCCACAGCAATATTGCAGTACAGATTATCAGGACATTTAGGCAGCACAGTGATTGTGGCAGCTGCCTGAGAAAGCCACCTAAACCCCAAAGCGACGGTATGCCATTTCAGGTCTGACAAGCTAAAATCTAAGCAAGCAATTAAACATGAAGGAAATAATGGCTGCAAGAGTGAGGAAGTACTGACTGCAAAAAAATTCATGTTCAGCTACACTGACAGACAGTTTCGAGTTCACTACTAACAAGTTGTGAGGTGGGATGTTTGGCTGTAATAACTGCCAAGGTCTCACTGAAAAATATAATTAAGACCTACCCCAGTGTGTTATGAAAATTCAGCTGGACTTTATTTGTTTTAATGCTTTCTACGCCTGTTTTGGCCAACACTTCTTTGAAAGGACTTGGCTTTAAAACAGACTCTGGCTTATATTTTGTTCACTTTATTGAGGGGAAAAGTCTGTTAGTGTTTTGGAGATATAGGCTTTGTTTTTATGCATATAAAGAGCTTATCATATCGATCTTTATATAAATTTATAGCTTATACATGAAAATGTCTGAAAATGAACATTAAAGGATGCAGATAATTCTCTATTGCCTGCAGCACCAGCTGCAAATACCCTTACTATGGCTTCCTTCAACATTTCCAGAGTTACACACAAAGGCAAAATTATTTCGTCAGGATCTTTGCCAGAGAAAGCAAGTCAGAGTCAAGACCATCCAGGGCTTGAGGTTGTCTATGGAGACTGGAAAGTCACTGTGACAGTTACTGTCTTTCTATGGTACATCCAGGCACTGCTAAACACAGTGAAGTTTGGGTCCCCCGCTGCTATTTCAACACAAACCATAAATAATAGTAAAACAGTCTTTCTGTAGTGTTCTCCAAGAGCTGGCACGGCCCCAGTCTGACAGTTGGAGCTGTACAGCTATGCAGCCACAGCTTGTGATGTGAGCGGGTGCCACATCAGCCAGTTCTAATGAGAATGGCTGCAGCAGCAGTTTGCCAAAACTCTTGTAACCTCCCTAGTAAATTTATGTCTATTCTTTCAGGGAAATTAAGAGACAAATTCCTTCCCCTAAACGTGTGCAACAGCAGTTATTGTCACAACACAGCTGTATTGAGAGGGAACACTGCAGGGAAGACTAGATTGAAACAGATGTGATCCACGCTGCAAGTCTGTCCTAGGGTGCCACTATAGGTCTGAGTGTCTGAAATTCTAGTGTCCAGTTCTGAGACTGCAGTCCTGGGCAGAGCTTGCTCCTAAGACATCAGTGTAGTCTGGTTGGCAGCTTCTTTGCAAGACCCACAAGGAGGAAGTGTGAAAATAAAGATAAAAATTTGTGGAGGAAAAAAAAAAGAAATAGTAACTTTCTGGGAAAGCTCAGTAGTATGGGTGCATCCAGAATGCATTGCAGAAGCAGCAAGTCTACTGTATGTACACACTGACTGTTGTGCACTCACAAAGTCACAACTTGACACGCTTGTGATAAAGTGCAATGGCTGTTTGCTTTGTACTTCCAACATCCAGCTCCAGCTGGACTTCTGGACTCTTGAAAATCTCAGGCAAAGGACTGTATTCAGATTGCTCTGTCAGGATAAAAATTAAGTGCAGAAAACGTGGACATACCTGGAGAACCCAAATACATAGTAGTCTTACGCAGTTGCTATACACAAGGATTGTCATTATCTTCAACACACCAGTCTCACAGTCTGGAAAACCACTATAATTTAACACAATCATATCTTTAAATCTAGATCGTAAAGAGATAAAATTCATAAAAAGCCCAATTACATTTACTTTGGAGTACCATGTAGCCACTGGGCACTTCTCAGAACAGCCAGGCATCCTTTCCGTGAAGGCCCAGCTCAGGTTACGTGGCCTCTGACCTGTTCCATGAATAAGCTGCATTTTTTAGCACTTAGATTTTATACCTTATACCCATTCAGATGATTAGTGACCTAATTCCACAAAAATAAATGGCTTTGATTGTCATGGTTATGTATATGGTTTAAATGTGGACTTATGTACAAGGCATTTCCCTATCTTATTGTAACTTACTAGCATTGTTGATAAAACTCCACTAAATGTTGCTAAACAAAGCAAAGAGGAACATGTTCAAACTTGCTGCATTCCTTTTCTTCTGGTTACTCACAGAAATCTCTAATGTACAGCTGGGCCCAACCTCAGGGGAAGATCCAAATCAAAAGACTGTTACTCCCCCATCTTTCACACTTAAATCCGGGGGTAGGATGAAGCAGTTGAGTGTCTATGGTTCTAATTCTAGGTTGGAAAGGAGTGATAGTTCCTGTCAGAACAAGCCGACTTTAAAGATTTCCATGACCCAAAGGAGTAGAACTTCCTAATAAAAAGAAAGAGAATGAGCAATCCTGGCTATGTGGCAGTGAAGTTTCACCAGAGCAACCGAAAAAAAGTACAACACTACCAAACTGCAATTCAAATCTAATGAGAAGATGAGGGATTTTCAAACACCACCTTCTCATCGTCTTGCAAAGGTCCCATTAATATTACAAAATGCTACAAGGCAAGGCTTCTATCTAAATCTAAAATAGGATTTTAAATGTGCAATGACTGCAAATTACAGATTTGTTTTCTTCACTTAGCTTATCATAATCTGTAGCTAAGAGTCCAAAAGCGCACTGCAAACAAAGCCCTGCACAGGGGGATAATCCAATAAATTGACCTCTCTCAGTTCACTCAAAATCTGATGACCACTGACATCATTAGAGATTAAAAGAGAATTACAGGGCAGTAATATATTACTGTATGAGTAAACCTGCTTTTTGAAGGCCTTCTTTACAAGCATTTGCTGAGGAGCCTTAGGTGATAAGTGGAATGCACAGTCTAATTAGGAAGACGGTCATTGAAACCATCACCTGGGAAGGATCACTTCTGCCAGTGTACGCAAAAATTCCGTTATCTGCTCATGACTGACCAACCTGCACAGGCAACTTGCAAAAGGAAGACAGAATATATCAGCAAACAAATGAAGATATTGCTTAAATGAATCCTCAGAAAAAGGCTTTGTCCACAGGCAAAGTTCCATGTTATCCAGAATAAAGATATAAATCTTCACAATAAAGGCAGATTGCATATTTCCTTTCTCCACCTGACTCCCATAATGTTTTATGAAAGAGGTTAATCATTATGGGGCCGTAGTCATAGAAGGTGCAGCCCGCACTTTCAAACTTGGATATTAATGGCAAATTATCCATTAGACAACCTCACTTTCTGGAGGATATCAGTTGACAGGACCATGCAAAATAAGGCCATTTATCAAGGTACATAAATGTTGATATTTGTGTTTGAGAACTGCTATATTAATACAGTTTCCTCAGAGTCATGCAACAAATGAATGACAGAGGTAAGAACATGAGAAAATTATATCTCCCAGTAGTAGTCTTCAAAGCCAATACCCAGCAAACGTCTAAGCTACAGCTGGTATTATAAGAGGCTGTATACAGGATCAGATGCATCCAGGATGCAAATGGCTTTGGCTCCTTTCTCTGCTTGTGTGTTTGGGATGTAACCCAGACAAGGCTGTACTAGTGAGCAGGGGCTACAGATCCCTAAGCCCCCTTCTAAATCTGCTCCTGGCAAATAGTAAATTAAAGCATTAGGTCCATGCAACACATACATATGCATTATTACAGGCTTTTGAACTTTTATCAAGGCTGCTTTAACGCGGTCAGCAGCAAACCCCACCACTGACTTCGGTCTGAGTAGACCCTCCTTTTGCTAACTAAATTTATTTAAGAACACTCATCAAAAAACATAGAAAAGTTAAACACTTAGGTAGCTTTAACATTGTTCAATACGGGGCTTAGGCACATCACAAATCTCAGCATTCGGCTGCAAAGTATCTTTCCAAATCTGCACTGACCCTTCTCACCTACTGTGTTTGATTTTAGAAGCCAGCAATATCATTTATAAAATGTTCACTCACTCATCTAGGTCTAGGCTCCACAGTTCACCAGTTTTAATCAACTACAGCATTATTTTTCTGGGGAGGGAATGTAGAATAGAAACCATGCTTGCAACCCCCCTAATGTTTTGATCTTTGACCCTTGCTATAATTGATTCAGAGAACCCCTGTGTGATACGTGAACTGTGTAAAATGTGGTCTGAGGCTGTTTTTAAAGCCCCTCTTCAGTAATCATCCACTTTAAAACATTCGTGTGTTACAGATTAAACTAAAATCTATAGAGGCATGAGCAGCCATGAAAGCAGCAATGCAGATAAAGTTTGAATATAAATGTTTCTCATTTGAATAGCTAACATTTGGCAGCAGCATCCTTTAACTTGGTAAAGAGCAGACCTTTTGTTCTTCTGACTTACACGAGTGATTGATAGTTCATTAATGTCCCTGACAAAAACACCCAGCAACAGCAAAAACATTACAGAGTATAAAAGAAAAGGGAAGAAAAAGCGTATTAGAATAGATTTAATCCCAGATCTTAATTTTCTACAAGGAAATCTATATAATTGTATTATATTCTGATCTTGATTGCTCAAGTGCTAATCCAAGTATAGTTTATGAACGTGGACTTGTAAATACAGATATTCTGACTCTCTGTATGCATTACAGTCTTAAAGTACAATACAATATAATCTAAAGAAACAGTCAAGACAAATGTGGACTCTGATGGGGATCTATCCCTTTCACCCTCCCTTTCTTGCATACTCCATGTAATTTTTTAATCTACATTGTTCGGTACTTCTAAAAATGCAGCACTGAAATGCCAGGAAGTGCATCAGATGAGATTAGAATAAACAACACTGATGAAGGTAGTTGCAATGTTCTAACACATTCACAGCACCTTTTTTATAAAGCAGAGCTTGATCTTTCTTCCCTTACTCAGCTGAAAGGACTCTTTTTCTAACAGGACTTTAGACCTACATCTGCCATTATATGAGCCAAATATTATTTATGCTGCTAATAACAGTAATCTCATTCTCCATGCTGCAAGTTGCTAAGAAGAATTAAAGGCAAACTTAACTGGTACCTGGAAGGCAAAGAAAACCTTTGCTAACTAAATGGTTTGTTCCCAGCATCTGTGTACCAGAGGCCATGATGTGACATGGAAGACCATCATATTGCTCCAAGGGAATATCTTTGAAGAACATAAGGAATTCTTCTGCCAGGATGCAAGAAAGATTGATAATTATACAGTAATATGGTTTCTATTTTAGCTCTATGATGGTCATGACAATTCAACACTGATTTTTTTTTTCATTACATGTGATAATAAATGCATTTTATTTAACATGCTGTGTTGGGGAGAAAAATATATCCTTCCACTAGGAAAATGTCATAGCCAAATAGACCCCCTAAGCAATGCAACATATTAGATCAAAATTATGTGGCAAAGCTTCAACATTTATGCAGCCAGTATTAGCGGAGTAAAACTCATTCCTTACCCCCTGCCTGTTGCCCCAAGCCTTTTTTCCATTCATGCCTCTGTCTAACACAGTTTAGATGCCGCCTTGCAACTTTTTCCAAATAGGATATGAATTTTTTTTATTTCTTCTGCAAACATACGTAATAGCTAAAGACATTCAAGACTTCTTGAAAGATTTCTTTAGATAGAGAAACAGGAGCGGAGAGTGTGAGAAGTATCGGCCTTATAGAGTTCACAAACTGCTACATCACAGGCTCTGCCCCATAAAGACAGCTTCCCAGCTGCAGACAAGAATGTGGTTTCCTTCTGCTAGAATGGAAATAGGGAAAGCTTACCAAAGCACATCAGAAAGAGTAAAGGAACAGAAAATATTTCTTACCTAAGTAGGGAGGTTTGAGAAGTGTGATGATGGGAATTATTAAATGTTTGAAGTGATATGGGTAGCAAAACTGAATGACAATGAATGTCAGGTCCTAAAGAACCCTAACAAAGCTAGGAGGATGGAAGAAGAAAGAGAGGAGAAGACAAAGAAAGATCTCTTATTCTCACTGTGGTCTTAGTTTTGAGGAAGTATGATCTAAGTAGGGGTTTGCAGACTCAGATACAAGGAAAATTTCCGAGCCTAAGATAAAAAAATTTGACTTGAATCTTTCTTCACTGGAGTGATGAAAAACCCAAACACAGCTGAGAGGCAAGAGATCAAAAGGGATCATGGGGACTTTTTACTAAGAGCTTCTATTCCTACTTTGTTCCCTGTTATAGAGGAACACATCTCAGCCAATCCCTTCAGGTAGTTTAGCTTTTAAAGGCCAAACAATGGTCTGGCGGGAATATTCTGGGGTTCTAAAATTAGGAGCCACAGACAAGAAAATGTAGCTTCCCTTTCCCTCTTCTGTCTTCCTCCAAACAGTAGAACCCTTTGTTGCCTCCCAGAAGGGTTCATTTTGGCCATCTTAATTTCTCCAAAGGACCAGAGACCTCACACTCACCACCATTACTCCTAGAAACATACTGTTGCTGAGCTTTAGGGTGTCAGAAGATTTTGAACATGTTGACCCATATATTTAAAAGATTTGTACATTCAGTGCCATCAAATGTCGTGACAGGCTTGAAAATCTTTGTCCTAACCAAGTAATAATTAATAAAGCAAAAGAGGCCATTACTCTCCAGAAAAGAGGTAGGAGAATGGCACTGCATATCATATTAAATGGTAAAAGACAGAGAGAATGATCTGTATCACTTGGAAGCAACCACTATGTTTTCATAATGGCCACGGTAAAATTGTACATAGCAACCAATGAACATAGTCCCAACTTGCAGGAGAGGGGATGGGGATCAGTCTGTGCAATCAGAAAGCAGGAAAATTACTTGGGATCATGATCAGCTGAGCATGAGTTGCCAAAGAAGAGTTAACAAAGTCCTCGCATATAAATGGGTGAGAATAATTTCAGGGCAGGGAGATGAAGTCACCGCTACATCAGGTGCTAGTGTGATTGCTAGCAAAACAGTATGTGCAGTTCTGGTGTTCACAGTTTAGAAAGGAAACTGATAAATTGGAGGGGGATATAGAAGCACTGAAAGAACGATTCAAGGAAAGCTTGCTCTATGTTGAAGGGCTCAAAGTCTTCCAGTGGTTTAGCTTAACATCAGGAAGGTGCTTCCAAGAGGTGGCTTGATCAGTGTTGTTGAGAGAAGTATTTGCAATAACAAACTTTAGGTGTATTATTTAGGTTCTTTTATACACAATGTGTAATGACTGGATGTTGAATCTAGACATAGACAGATTAGAAATAATGTGTATATTTTAATGGCAAGGAAATAAACCAGTAAAACAACTTAGCAAAAGTTGTGATTGAGTTCCCTTAAATGGAAATATTTTAATAAGAAGGAAGTTTTTCTAATTTATATCCTAATTTGAAAAATAGTTAATTCAGAAAAGCTTAACTGTATTATACAAGAAAAAAGGTTAGATGCCTTTATAATCTTTGAGTCGCTCTGGTTTCTTAACCAACCTCATTCTTCCCCAGCAGAGCAAGTTCCCATTGCTGACTGCAGGAGGCAATTGTATTATGACTGGCTTTCTTGATTTGCTTGGAGCAGTTCACTTTGTTTAACAGCTGCCTCACTAGTTTGTTGCTTAAATAATAAACTATAGAAATATATTGTTAGAAAGCTGGAAAAATTACAGTTGAGAATATATTTTGTCCACTGCATTATATATAAAGATGTGAAGCAGTGATCAAAGTACTTTGCCTCCTAAAAGTTTCTGATAATATAAAGAATTCCAATGCTTGAGTCAAAAGAAATTATCCAGAATTGGAGTATTCATTCAATAGAAACCAGCGTGATTTCACTAACAGCATACACCTCCTCCTAAGGGGTGGGTGAACAGTTCCAGGGTGTCTGGAATAATATTAACACCTTAAAAGCCTTTTGTTTGTACTTGGTTACATTTGGCTCCTGGTTTTGTTTCAGGTGCAATCTTAAAAACAGAGCTCCAACTGCTTTAAAGAAATAGTAGGGAGGCTGTTTGCTTTTTAAAGTGCAGAGGCTTCGTTAGTGTGATAGTTTGAAATAAAACCTCCCTGCTTTGATGTTTTCTTACCCGTCACTCCAGCAGCCTGTCTTCCATGCACAAACTGATGAGGCGTAACAGTCTAATCAACTATTTACCCGGAATTCACTAGTAGGAACATGTGCAACAAAATGATTCTGAAGTCAAGCTGAACTGTGCTACTTGAAACTCAGAGAAACTATGTCTTTGTCCCATTCAGGATATTGTTTCATTAACGTAGAGGGACAATGGAGGAAAGATTCAGTGAAGAGAACTCAACTCTAACAGAAATAAGTACAATATAAATAAACTGCACACGATTCATGGCATAAACAGCGAGGCAGTTGCAGAGGTGCTGCTCAGAATGCCTACAGTAACCCTGCCGCCATATGGAAGGTCACACAGGAGTGGGGGGATGTTGGCTGACAGCAAATGTGCAAATTGGTGTATTTCTGAGAAACTCATGAAGGCAATTCTGAACTGCATTCAGAGATTTTACAATCAGGAATTGCAGAAGGTGGCAGAGATGGGGGAGGAATTATATGTTCTTCATAAACAGAATGAGATTAGAGCATGCTAACAATGTGCCACATCATTCGTGCTATACACCATGTGATTGTGCATAAGAAGCAACATATGATGCACATGCCTAAAAGAGAAGGTTCTCCAGAAATTAGGTGAAATGCCTTGATCTCACTTTCACCAGAGAAAATCTGCAATAAATCAAGCAAATTCTTTGGTGGTGGTGTGAATTTACAGAGCAGAAGTGGCCCACTTGTGATTATTCTACCAGTAAAAGTATGGCAAAAGTTATAGCAATAAAATGCAAGTGAGAACCTGCATGTATCTTCATTTGTTCTTAAAAAAAAATGTAAAAAGAAAGGAAAAAAAAAAAGTGATGTATGAGTTGTGCTGTACAGATTTTGAAAATGGTAGTTTTACAGATGGATTTAAGTAAGGAAAAATAGGAAGTCATACTATATGGTAACAAAAAACTGTTAATATGGTGCATGTATTGGGTGGGTTCAAGGTTCTTACCAAAATCAGCTCATCATTAGCTAATTCTCGAGTCCAGTATGTTTTGGGTCCATCTCCCTCAATAAGAGTTTGTTTGCAATAGATCTTGTTTTCATTCTCCCAAGTAGCCAAACTCTGTGGGCAAGAAAACCATTAAGAATAACATTAATTATATTCCCCAGCAGCATGAAGCAGAGACAACAATGAACAGTAGTGAGAATAATTGCTGCAGTAGAAGAGCAACACTTAGACAGATAAAGGCAAAGGGAAAAAGACATCAGTGGAAAGTGGTGAAATCAAAATTAAGGTGTAAGGGGGCACTTTGGATATATATTATAGTATATACTATATATAGGTAAGGTATATAGTAATAACAAAAAAATTGTAAATGTGTCTTTTCAGTGTAAATCCACATTTGTTTCCAAATTAAAAAGCCACTCAGTTTTCATAAAATGCTTGATGTTGAAAAGTTTAATTTAGAAACATGTGATAATGTAGTTTCTACATTCCCAAGCATCTTTGTACACATGTGTTTTGATCTGACATGTTATTTATCACTAGAGAGTCCCCTTAGTGTAAAAAAAGCATAAAGAATTGTATGTATCATGTTGTGGTCATAAATAATGCAGTATTTGTCACTTACAACCTTTCATGCTATATGGCACTGTGCCCAGTTAACTGCATATTAAATACTTCTTGTGCTAACAAACTAGAATAAATCACAAGTAAATTAAAGAAACTTTGTCACAATTCTGGTGTTTGCGATATTACTTTTTTAAGGTTGTGGGTCTGGAGATTAAAATACCCTTGAGCATTTTTCAAAGCATTTCAGTGATGACTATGAAACCACTGAAAAATAAAAAAAACACCGCCATAGGATTTGTTTAGCTTTCACAAACAGGCAAGCCCTGACTTTCTTGCTTTTCATTCTAGCACTGAACTACTCTTCTGCAGTGCAATGGAACAGCTGTGCAGAAGGATGCCCTGTAATGAATGTGCAAGTAATCGCTTTATAACTAGCACATGGGAGACATTCATTAGTCTGTGATTATATACATATATGTGTGTGCATATGTATGCATAAATTCGAGTTAAGAAAAAAACTTTACTCTGATTTAAAATTAGCTGTTTACTGTACAAATATTTTTTCAAAACAATAGTTTTTTTAAGCCATCCAACCATCTCAAATGGCAGTTATAGAAGCTATGCCTTGCGGTACAACTACATATGACTTGCTCTTTGTCTGTATGAACAATGGATCAAGTTAGTTGGCAAACACTCCACCCCATAAAGTGTATCAAAACCCATCACCAGTCAGCAATTTTGCCAGATATTGCAAATTACATTCTGAAGTATTATTTTATTATCTGTCAGTTTCTGCTCTGTGGCCACATCTTGGTTATATACACACAGCAGTACAACTTATTCCTGAGAGTGGGCTATAAATAATTTCACAACACATGGAAAGAATTTACTACTTCACAAAACACATTTCTTTCAGATTTTTCCAACTTTCATAGCTTACAGCCATAATTATTGTTTTTCCATGTGCAGCAATAAATCTTTCTCTAGAAAGCGGGTCACATTTATTGTATATGCATTATGCATGAACACACTAAAATACTACTTTTGCCGAACAAGATAAATTAACAAAGCCAGCAACATTTCCTGAACAAACTGTTAAATATACGATAACTCATCCTAGAGATCAAGTGGATGTTCTAAATGTTCACTGGTTCCCAGAATCTGCTTCCCTTTTTCATAAATTTAAATTCACAGCAATTGCATCAGAGATAGTAAGTTCTGAATTTTTAGTGGTCCAAATGGTCTCAGAAGCTGGTCCAGGAATTACCAGAGATCATATTTTGGAAGTAGATTATTTCACCATCATAGGATACTTTCGAAATTGTATTCTTATTTGGGACTACAATCTGATACTCTTTACTCATACTTCTTTTGTAAGTGTTTTATATATACTTCTCTTACAAAAGTGTGAGAGTAAGGTGCCTGAAGAAAGGATAACTAACCCATGCCTTTGATAACTTTTTTCAAAAGACAGCTACGATCACAGCCCAGTTCTCCAATACCCCAGATCCCAGGTATTTACACCAGCAAGAAGCTGGTGTCAGATGCTGCCGACTTAAAGCCCCCTCCATGGCCACAGAAGCAGTTACAAAGGTAGAAGAGCAGGGGCTTACACACAGAATCAAGCCCCAAACACTCCAGTGAACGCCCTCTAATGTGCTTCTGCACAAGGAGATGGTGTAATTATGTCTGGTATAACACTAGCTGAAAGTCTGTCTTACACTGTTAAAGACTTATCTGATCAGCAAACCGGAGACATGCACTTGCAAAGGAATGAAAGAGGATTTCAGCCCCAAACTACCAACAGTCTACAGTCCTGCTTGAGAACTCGGCTGATGCAGTTTAGGACAAAAGTTATGTTAGGTTTGTGCACCTCCTGACTCTTGAGGTCTCTCTCGCTCCACCATTCCCAATGTTCCTGCCAGGGACAGAGGTTGGAAGAGCTTTCACTGCAGAGAGGGAAGCAAAAAGAGCTGGACAAAACCCTGCCAGCCAAAGAGTCGGCAAGCAGGTACTCGAACTCTGCCTTTGAGACCTGCCAAGCTCTGTTGCCTTCAGATTTCAGTTTTACCCTGCAAGAGGGAGAATGTTGGGCAAAGGACAAGAGGAGCGGCAACCACCAAGCACCCCCAATAAGTGTTTCTGGGAAAAAGAGGGTGGGGGGCATCAATTCCTTTGCCTAAGGAACCAGCAACAGATGTGTTTGTCCCATCTAAAAAGAACTGGGTAACACACACACACAGACACACACACATGCCCCCAGCTCTCCTCCTACCCTGCACTTTCGTCCATCCACTGTCTCCTCCTCAAAGCTCTCCCCGATTTTGAAGTTGATCTCAGTGGTACGGACAGTGGTGGAAGTTTTGATGTAGAACTGGTCCCCGTCCTGGCGGATCTCCACGTGGGGTTTGGAGGCGGCAGCCACCGCCACCTTCCTGAGCATGGCATTGACACCTGGGCAAAGCGGGGAAGAAGCAGAGCTTGACGTCGCCAGCCGCGCCCGGGGCTGAGCTCGCCCTACGGCGGGGCTCG